TTTTTCTTCCATTCCAGCAGTGCGCAGTGTGGTTATTCACTAGTTTATCTCGGAAGTTCGTACGTATTTTTGGATCTCGTGCCACAAACTCCTCCAGCAAATCACGACGCCCGCCCTGGTCGTGGGAAAAAGGAGCCGAGTTTTCCTCATCCCGATGTAATAACTTCTACTAAGCCACAATTCGATCGAAGGCGAAGTAACATTTGTATTGCGGTACAACAACTTGTCGATGCCAGCCATGCGGTATCAAAATGTATCGATCTCATTCGCTTAGAAGGATACTACAACTAGAGAAAAACCCTTGTTCAAGAAGGTCATCGGATTTGTACAGTCTGCGTTCTCTCACTGCAGCCAATCTGCCCGAGATGAACTGCTATGTGGACCACCCTGGTCTTTCAGATGCGCAGTTCTCTTAGGGGTTCTCGCTCCTTCATTATAAGGTTGAAGCTTTGCCAAAGCCTAATTCCTGAATTGATCACTGATGACAGGAGTTCGACAGGAATGCTGAACGTTTCATTTATTATTCGTTCCTACTCCCAGTCTTACGCGAATGGTTGAACAGAAGTTGCTATTGGCAGTTGAGAGAGCAAGTTGTCATGGTAATCATAGCCAAATACTCCACTGGTCCGATCCAGCGCAGGGGTGGGAAATGGTCCAAATTTACCACGATGTCATTGCTCCGTCTCTGTTGGGCGTTCTCGGATTAGACACTTGAAGCTCTTCCTCGTACATCCGTGGAAACTGTCACTCCTTGGATCAACGGCAAAACTCAAGACAAAACTCAGGCAACAGACCTTACAAGGGGGTCTTTCAGGTCATGGAGCGCTTTTCCAAAATGATTTCCTGCACTTTGTAGAGACTCATGCGAGGAACATAAACTATGGTCCATTTTTCCTGAACACTTCTGGGAACCTCAAAACAGTGGTGAAGAAATGGTCCAAAGTTCAATCCGCCGTGGTGACAAATTTTTGCAATCCATGTTGGAGCCTCCAAATTGTCGCCAAATTACGAGGATGACATGTTAATCGACGCTGGTGCCATTTGGACACAATTTGGAGGCGCCAACATAAATTGCAAAAATTAGACATCACGGAGGATCGAACTTTGGACCATCTCTTCTCCACTATTCTGACCTTCCTAGAAGCGTTCAGGAAAAACGGACCATGGTTTTGTGTTCCTCGCATGAGTCTCTACAAAGTGCAGGAAATCATTTTGGAAAAGCGCTCCATGTCCTGAAGACCTCCCTTGGTTAGAACTAAAAAGTATATCCGCTTCATTCAGAATCGACTTAAGCTGAAACATCCTACGCACTTCACCATTGCAGCTGTGCCCCTCAGCCCTCTTTGAGAGGAATCTGCACTTCCTCGGTCAGCAATCATTTCGCCAGGCAAAGAATAATGATTCTCTATACACACTCGAAATCGGACGTCACTACCTTTCTCTTAACTCGTCATCGTCAGGCTTCCCGGATAGAAGCAGGTACACTGTCGTGTTGGCATTCTGTTATCACTGAATAATCGATTGTGGTATATCATACTAATATACAAATCAGAGTTTGTTTGTCCGCTCCCCATAAATTCGCAAGTGCCTCCCACATTTTTTTAGATTTTGCCTCCAAAATCACCTATGGAGGGCGGGTCAAGTTTGGAAAAGTAAAGCATTTTGCCACGGATGCAGGATGGTCAACATGTGGCTTGCGCACGATTCTTCAGAATTTTTGGTCTCCAGTCCTTTGTACTAGTAGTATTCTGATCTGAGACCCTTTCACGCTCCCTCTTCCTTTAGCCTTGTTCCGTTACACCATCATTGAGCGGGGCAGGGGATCGATGAAACCGAAATCGCGAAAAAGATCCGTTCAGGAACAACGCCCCATTCGTACTGTTTCCTTCATGCTTAACCTTTTTTTTATACTGAGTTCAACCCTTTTCATCAAATACGCGACCCGTCCAATAGACAACACCACTCTCATAGTCATGTATCAGTACTTAATTTGTTACTGCAGCAAAATAATTACTCTCAGTGTTCCACTAGAAATTACGGATTAGTAGAGGGAACTAACGCCAAACTGTCGCATCTTTGCGAGAATAATCAAGATAATTCCACGAGTTGCTCTATTCTCAGCAGCCGTCTCGCGCTCGGTATCTTGCACAGCTAGACTGGTTTGATGATAAACTTCTTGTGCTTAAATAGAGTAGGCACAAAAAGAACTCCAAAAGACTCACAAACTTTTGGAACAACCTAATACTGTCCTTACGCGCGCGAATACTACCCCTTCTGACGGGCAAACAGATATTCATGCTGAACGATGTTCGTTATGCCCACTTAAATCTAGGGGCCCCATTTCTGAAAGGAATCAATTCCTACAAATAGACTGCCGTACTTTTCTCTCGTCTCTTTTGTTCTTCCTTTTATCCTTTATAAAATTTCGTTACCTTCTTCTTCTCCTCACTGTCTTTCTATCTAATTTCTCATGACTTCATAACAAAACACTTCTCCGTTTCCCCGGTTTCTCCCCTATGCTTATCTGTAATACAGCCTTCACCTCACTGCAGTTCCTCGTTTTTTAACGTAACTAATCTTTTGAATGGTGGTAATCGAAAGACGGAAAGGGACATTTAAACGGCGTGAATTCACTACAAATTCCCTCCTTCCTAGAAGTTATTTCTTATTTTCTGTGTGCCTCGTGCTAGTACTTATTGCTTCCCTTTCATGTTTCTAGTAATAAATCAAATCCAGAATTTCTCTTATTTCGTTGCTTAAGTTGCTTTTAATGAGATCGTTTTGCAAGTTCCACGTACATAAAGGAGGTAAGCAAACCAGCCCTTTTGGCGTTTCGGCTGGGACCGTATGCTGAATGTTGGGGAGGGGATGGGGTCCCCAACGGTCGACGGTTTACTTCAACTCGGTTGGTACGATAGGAGAGTACTGACGCAAGTGGTGCAGCTGGTCCAGCAGCTCCGCCAGAAGGGCTGGTTTGCTCACCCCAGGACTAAGCCTTGGAGAGGGGACGGACCCGTCCTCTCTTTAAGGCTTAGTTCTGAGGTAAGCACCAAATTGTGGCGGTTCTAAGGACCGAGTTGAAGTGGTCCGTCCACCGTCGGGGACTCCATCCCCTCCCCAACATTCACGGTCCCAGCCGAAGCGCCAAAAGGGCTGGGTTGCTTACGTCTAACGATACAGCCCGGTATGGAGTGTGTCTGTGCAGACCAGCCTCACATTAATCGGACCGTTTTCGTATACGAGTGTTAAACAGCTAGTAAAGGTGCTGTTGGACGCTTCGGTTCATTTGGGGTGCTAACTCAGTTGGTGGGGGGGGGGGGAGTTTGTGGGCAGTCGCACCACAACGTCGACGTCATGCTCGGCGCCTCTCAACGAGAATGTGGTAATCTTATGTGTGCAACTAGAAACTGTGAGCAAGGGCGACCTGCAGCCGGGGGGGGGGGGGGGAGCGACGCAGCATCGGAGCCTACATATGACATCAGCAGTATCCCAATTTCGCAAGAGGGCTGAGTGGAGGCGAAGCGAAATGGTATGAACCTGGCGTTATATCCCTGCCAAAATTGAGATTCAGTTTATTTCGCGCGATCCTTGGCATCACTTATACTCTGTTTCATGCAGCCAGAAATCCACGTGGCACACGGTGCTAAATTCTCGATGAAAAGGTAACATCACGTGTGTTCAAAGATGTTCTTGAATGCCACGTCAATTTCTGCAATTGCACAATTTCTGGTCATTTGAAGGGTTACGGGGCAGCGGTCAACCAACGTGTGCGAGTCCAGACAGAAAAGCACACTGCTGGGACTAAGCCTTTCGAAGGAGGGAAAGAAAGCAGAGATGCTGTAATAGTGTGTATGTGCGAGAGTCCCAGAGAACACTACAAAACACTGAATCACCAAGCCTTTCGGTTGACCATTGCCCTTAACGTGTAAGTCGAGGTAGCATCTCCCTTTAGACTAGTAAATAGCCGAAGACTTTTCAGGCCACGCAAACACTACTTCAAACCAAGTGCTTATCGGGCGACGGCCTAATTTTTACCCCGACCATTAGCGAGTATGGGTCTCTCCAGTAAGGGGGCATGAGGTGTGACAGTTTTGTCGGCTACGAAATTGCCGATTTTTCGCAAGGGGAGCGGAACCCCTGGATGAGAGCCGCGGGCCATTTCATACTCATGTCAGCATTCCCGGTCGCGTCGGTGCCATGTGGGGCATTTTGCAAGATTTGCTGAATACTCACGAGTCACTTTTAATGCGACGCAATTTATAACCGAAAAACTGGGCCAAATAGTCGGCATTTCACTCACGCGGAGATTTTAATCTATTATGCGCTTTTATGACTTGACAGAGGTATCAGGGTATTTCTCGTTTTCACATCTTCTTGACTCCTCTTATTCAATGTTGCTCTGCTTATTACATTGATAGAATGGATTCCAGGTGTCAGCTGATGAACGTTTGTTGACCTACTTTTGTTATTAGGGTAACTCGTGAGTAAACGCGCCCTAATACACGCGAGCATCGATTCATGAACGGTTCCTCGCATGCGAATCGTTTTTTATGATAATTGGCTCATTACTACCAAGTAATCAGTTTTTTGGAAGCTCTCTCTCTCTCTCTTCTCTTAAACTATCATTTCGGTGCTATACAAGTAGGGTGGGCACGCCGCATTTTTTGAACAGAAATGTATGTAAGTGGGACTGCTGCTCGCTACTATACTGTCACGAGAATTGGGGAGTTCGTGAGCCAGGGGAGTGTAGCCAATCTAGGGGGTGGGGGTGAGGGCAGTCACTTGACATGCGTGAAAAGCTGGGTGTGCCCACCCCACTTGTATAGCACCTATTTCTTTCCCATATGTCAGTGGTACGAGTATTTGCTACATATTCGCCACTTTCTCATTTTTTTTTTGCTTTTTTGGTAACGCTTGGCTTAACCTCATTGATTACCTTGTTCGGGTATTGTTTCATTATTTAACTTCGCTGTTATTGTGGTGTTAATGTTTAGGGGGTGATGAGCACTCCAAACAACTCGAAGGAAGATGGTGTTCTTGAAGAAACGGTAAATGAAACGGTTATTGAGCAAACGCAATCGCAACCTCAGGAAGCTCCTTCATCTCACTGCATGGATGTAATATTTGTAATATTATTGATCAGGTTGGCTTATTTGAAGTCATGTTTATTGATTTATTTATGTCCTTAAGGATTCTGCGAAGAGGTCGTCCCCACTGGGCTCACCTAAGAGTACACCGCGGACACCACCACCAGCCCTTGAAAACCATGTGGATCGCTGCCGACGATTCCCAAACAGCCATGCCGCCTTGACCAACTGTTGGAGCAATTTCTCGTCTATGAATCTAGTCTTTCGATGACCGACTACATCAAGGCGATTCTATGTGAGTATTCATACAAAATACAAAGTCTTGATGAGTGCTTGTTCATCCATGTATTTAAATTACTTGCGAAATTGTCAGAAAAATCTGGTATAACATACGCGTTCTGGTAAGATTTTCAGTTTCACAAAGAAATTTGGTAAAGCAAGCCGTTTACATTTCATAAAAATGAGCGAGAACTTCACTTTAGTGGCACTCACACCCTTTAAAAGCGAGAAGGCTGCTCTTGTAGTCAGCTAACTTTAAATCCCTGTTCGCCAGCACCGGCTGTCGTTTAGCTCAGTTGTACTCAGAACGCCAAATTCAACGATCTATCTCCACTACTTGAATGATTAAGGTGAATAGAAAGAAGATGTTTAAGCCTGAGGTGGACCGCTGTATGCAGGTTTAGGAAATTCTACGCTTCAACATTCACTCACTCGAAGTGACATGATGTTCATCAACATTTGCGTTACAACAGTAGTATTTTGTCGCGTGGCAGCTTCGTATACCATACCCTTTATTCACTGATCTGGGGCGGTATTCAATCCTTCCCCCAGGGGGATATATCCCCCTCCTCTGATTCAATCCTCTGGGGGGACAAAAAAGGGTTGCGTCATAGGACCTAGCATACCTCTGTGTTTCTACCTGCCAGACAGTTAGAGCAGCGCTACTACCCTCCACTGATGAAGCACTCTTTTCCCTGAGGGGTCGCGCTGCTCTAACTGTCTGGCAGGTAGAAACACAGAGGTATGCTAGGTCCTATGACGCAACCCTTTTTTGTCCCCCCAGAGGATTGAATCAGAGTAGGGGGATATATCCCCCTGGGGAAGGATTGAATACCGCCCGGAGGGGTGGATATCTCGTATTTTGGACTTTGGAGGAATCCTGTGCTCGATCTTGCCCATTATAGCTATAGTCTTCGGCCGCTTTTCTCAGTATTCCTCTATTTCCCTTTGTCAACTGCTGATTTCCTGAGCACGATTGTATGCTTTGACGTCTTTGAATAGTATCTGAAAGATTCACGAGTGATAAGATTAAATTACTAAGGTGTTTCCGGAATTATTTGAGCATTCCTCTTTTAGCAAGGGGGTTATGTGGCTAAGACCAAGGAGCAGCGCGCACTCTAATTTCAACTTCGTTTCGTCATCTTTTAGGGGTTGTAGACCTGGTTTTGTTTGATGTTTCAGTATTTTTTTTTCGTTATTTCGTACTCTTTTCTATTCAGCAAATTCGACTTGAACAAGAGGCGCTCCGCAACGGATCCTGAGCTGTCAGCAAAATGTGCATCAGAAAGTGTTCACGTCATGCGTAACCGATACAGAGACATCTTGCCCTGTGAGTTCCTAAAATAAGTTTTTCCTGGCGCTTTTCACTTTCTTTCAGTGTTTACTATTTTTTGAATTTTTTAGTCGCAGGTTTTTAAGAGCATCAACAAAGCCACATATGTTTTTACACTACATAGTGCAAGTGCGGTAACAGATATGACCATTCACGCATTTGGCTTAAAAATGTTGGTCACAGAAAGGACCATTCATATTGGCTTAAATTCATTGGGCAGTCCAAGGTGCCCAAATTAAGCACATTGAATGGCATTGGTTCATTTACTGATTCATGCGCTAAAGGAACGTACCGATTGTCTTGAGGGAGCATTAACCCCATGCTTTTAAAGCGCGCTATTATTATAATTCCTCCTCTCGCTCCCCTTCGAAATTTATCGTTTTCAAGTAAAGACTTGTTATTATTGAAACGTAGCTCACTGGATTTGTATCCTTGCCAACTTTTTCCATCTTATTTTCCTAGTGGTAAGTACTAGTGGTAAGTAACTACGCTGTGGAACTTTGTAAATATGTGTAATGGGTAGGCATTTTCTTCAAAACACGACAATTTGACTGTTTTCGTTCTGGTGCCGGTCAACTCACCCAAATCCGCTCATGCAAGGCCTCTGCCATCGTCATTACCGCTTGGAGAATCGTTGAGTAATTTTATAGTGTGTCTATGTGAATGACACCAAATGATGCAGAAATTGTGCTTTTCAGTAGAAAATAAGTGGAAGGTACGAGAGCAAAGTGCACAGGCAAAATTCGACGATTTTTTGGCGATCCCCTACTTTTAGAGTGCTCCCCACAACCCATGAGAAACAGCGCGGCGGACAAGTCTTTCGCAGTGTTCGTTTTCGTCTATGCGTTGCATTGTTAAGAAAAATGCACCATGCGTTTTGCATTTCAATTGTGATATTCGTTGTGATGCTTTGAAGATTTTTGGTGGAGTGCTTTCGCGTTCGGCAATTTGTTTTTCAATGACGACGCTTTAATTTCTAGCTCTTACTTGTGATGCCGGTTTTTTTCCGTTTCTTCGCTTTCAACTAGAAAGGTAAATTATCGGTAATAAAAGGTCATCAATATAAGTAATTAACCCTTAATAAAAAAGAGGAGACATATTCGTAAGATGGCAGCGAAAACCAACTAATTATCAGAGAATTCCCATGAATGCTTGGATGCTCTCTTGTTCTCTAGGAGCAACTATACTTGGCTCCTACCTTCTTCCTTTACTCAATTTCTTTATTGGTAGCTGTATACACACAGCACTTCAGAAGTGGTGGCTCTAGAAAAGGAGACAGTTGGGTATCCGTACGTGAAATATACGCTAAAGTGTCGAAAAAGACCGCTTCATACGCAGTTCTCATTGGTTGAGGTTTCATCCGTCTGGCCATCAAATGTCAAAGATTGCGAGCCTTTCCGGTAAATCCTTTGCAAACTTGGGTGTGTCAGCGTGCGCAGTTCGATGCGAATTTAAGAACTAAGTAGAAGTTGACGTGCTTTGGACGTGCGAAGTAAGCAAGAAATGTAAAGATGCAGTTTTGATAGAAGCATTGTCAACTTGTCTAGTTCTCCTCCGCAAGTTTATCTTTTTTTGGTACAGTGCATTCATGGTTGCAGATGATCGGAATCGTGTTGTTCTATCGCCATTCGATGATAATTCCAACGGCTACATAAACGCGTCGTTCGTCAGCCTTCCAAAAGGAAAAATGCGTTTTATTGCTGCCCAAGCCCCTTTGCCCTAGTACACTTGAGCAATGGTTAGTTATTACATAAGTTATGTTCTTTCTAATTGTTTCCTGTTGTGTACGCTTGTTCAGAACACAGAGCTTATGCTTAGTTACGTTCTGTACATCCGCATATTTGAACATTTTCTTTTTCCTTTTTTTGATTTGGGCTCATATTCCTCTGCCGTTTCAGGTGGAAAATGGTCGATGAACAGAAAGTTGTACTCATTGTTATGCTTTGCAAACTGGTTGAAATGAACAAGGTAGGATACGTGTTTTGCGAATGCGTACTATCACAATGTGACATACATGAGTCAACCTTTGATTGTAATGCGTTAGACTAGGTCTCTCGATTATGGCGAAGGCTCCTAAGGCTTTTCCTCTCTAGTATAGTGAGTAAGGAAAGTTTTCCACTAGAAGGTAGCCCACCAAAGTTAAAGTAGAGGTGGTCAGTGTACTGTGATGAAGAAAAATCATGAAAAATGGCACTGAGAAGTGGGACCTCTTTCTTATCCTTTGATTTCCCCCTTGATGCGTCTCTAATCGGTGCTGCCCTCTTCAACACTAACGTTTTCTTTGCTCAACGGCCTAGAGACCTGCGGCGAGTGGTTACACAGCGATGGGCGTACCGTGCCGATAGCGCCGCGCGGGAGAGCCATGTTGGTCGCCAGGCATATCCTTTCCGAAATTGCGTGTCAGTCGCGCACTCTTAGGGGGTCCCCTATCTTTCCACATGGAGGTATCTCGCTCTTCAACTTTATCGTGGAATCGTCCAAAAGGGGGAAGGACTCCTTGAATTCCGATTCCCCAAATTCCCATTCGAGTTTCAGTCTCACAAAAACCTATCGGGCTAGGCTAGTATGGCCTAGAGCAACAGTGACATGAGACCAACTCGATGTGGACACTGTTGACCATTAAAGTTTCCAGTTGTTCAAGATCACTAAAGCGATATAATTTTGTTAAGGTTAAATGTGAACGGTACTGGCCGGTCGAATCGGACTAAAGTCTACGCCTGGTTCTGCTATGAAATCAGTTTAGAGCGAGAGTTGAAACGTGAGTTATAGTTTTTGCTTCTGTCGCAGGAAGAAATACTTATTTCAAGTAAAGTCCAGATCCAATAGCATCGATGTTCAGCATTTGCGATGACGCATGTACTTCGGTTGGAGTCGCGCGCATAGTCGTTTTGCGGATGGACTACCAGAAAGGTCGGAAATCAGAGTGATCCATCAACTGGCATTACAAGTAAGAGCTTGTTAAACGATTGCATTCCAGAGTAATCGCATGATAGTCAAAATTATGCTCAGTTTCATTAAAACGTGGGTAATCAGAAGTGTAGTGTAGGAATTCTGCATGTACGTCCACCATGTCATTGCACTACTACTTGCTTATGTCCTTAGATATTTAGAATCATTATCTTGGTCTTTATGTGGGTTCCCGTCTCTCGTATATTATCGGCTATAGTACTTTCAGGTAAGCCTTTAGCATAGAATGAAAATACGAATATAACTCGGGAAAAGCTAGTGCGATTTAACTTGAGTTAATGCAAGTTTTGGTTGTTGAGAGCGATTTTCGCAAGGAGATCTGAATCCAAACCTGATTACGGATTCTTAAGTAGGAAATTATAGTTCTTCATGCTCCGGAAGCCCGTAACTAATGTTCCGGAATTTCTCCTTGGCCAAGCGAAGATCGGCGCTTGTTTTCAAAACAGAAGACAAAAGGAAAAGGTATAAAGTCTTAATAGTTCCCATATGAGTTTCCAACCCTTGTGGCACTAGACTGCGTGTGCACCATAAGGGACGAACTTTTTTTTCTTTCAAAAGTCGGAAATTCAATTCAATGCATTCTTCCTCCAAATCTCAACTTCGACCTACATATGGTGAATGTCAGAACATGTAGAAATAGATTTCCTCTGTGTTGGTTAGTGGACTAATGGACAAGAATGAGCAGCTGCTTATCGACAAATGGTCGATATCAAGTTGGAATTCTTATCTGCACTGCAGCATCTGCTTTTTCTAGGGAGTGGCCAGATCATGGCTGTCCTTCGGGTGAAAGTCAGTTGATCAACATGATTGAGAAAATGGCTGAACTTCATGAGAATACAGAAGCGCCAGTATTGGTTCATTGTAGGTATGTCGATATTGCTACTGTTTTTGCCACCATTGAAATAATACATGGATCTCTTTTCAGCGCTGGTGTCGGTCGTACAGGGACTATCATATCTGTAAATTACATAAGAGAATTGATTAAATCTGCAGAGTTGGAATCTCTTGACCTCTTTGACCTTGTAATGAATTTAAGAAAACAAAGAGCTAGTATGGTGCAGACTCAGGTGCGTTATTTTTCTTCCTAGTCTTTTTGATTCTCTATTCCAGAGCTTACTGTAATGATTAACATTGCTAAATTTTACGCATTTATCAGCATTATTTCCACTGTAGCTTTTCATACTGTGCAATATAAGATAAGCGTCCTGTCGGATGACTGCTCCGGTCACATTAGTGCATAAGCCATGGCAGAAAAGCTGTAAAAAATAGCTCTGGAAAATTTTGAACAACATTTAGTAGATCTTCTGTGCAATATGGTAGTAGGTAGAATGCAATCAGGCGATGTTATTGTGGGACAAGCCTTGGTAGGTTCGGTGGTGGCATTTTTTCTATTGCTCATGCTTCAGGATCAGTATCAGTTCGTACACAAGTGTGTTGCGTATTATTGTAGAAGACATCTTGGTATTCCGCAACCAGAACCTCCAAAAGATGATTTGGTGAGGTTTTTGCGTTTTTTTTTGCTTTTTTCAACTCATTCCAATATTAGATTTCCTGCTCTTATATTTGCTGATTAATTTGTACGGAAAGCGTAATTGGTCTTCTGTAGAAAATAAAACAAGGACATTATGTCGATTTATATGGGTGGTTGGTCCTAGGTCTAGTTAGATTTTCCTAGTTCGAGAAGCTGAACTTGTTCATCGAATTATCAGTACTGGAAAAAATCGCATGTTCAAAATGAAAGGACTGATCTAAAGGCTTCATGGAATAGGTTTTATTACTTAAACCTCTTCAACAAGAAGTTAACGCTTTTGGTTTTTTTTATTGGAGCTAACGTTTTCACGATCTGCTTACAGTAACCAAAAGAGCGGATATTGTGGTGTTAACAAAAGTCGCGATCAGTTTTTGAACCAGATTTCATAAATAAGCTTTAAACGCTTGAGATCACCCAGTTGGTGCTGCCGTTGCTTGGAGGGCACTGCCATAACTGCTTCATGGATCAAATACGATGTTATGCCCTTCAAAGAAATCTGTCAGTGTGGTTTTTCCTAATCCGTCACTTATCCTTTATTTCGACTTCGCCCATTCGCTTTTGTATGCAGATCAACACTGTAAAATTAAATGTAGTATGACACAAAGAGGCACCAAAATTTCATTTCAAAAGAATTCCAAAAGTTCAGAAATTTTTTAAGTATTCGAAAAATTCCAAAATTCCAAAAAAAACCAAAAAGCAAGTTGAAAAGGATTCCTTTGAAATCCTCCGCGATATTTCAGTGTGTAACACCTTCGTCAGGCATGTGTTTGCAGTTGGAGTAGAGTTAAATCATTTAATTCTACTCCAACGGCGCGGCTCCCGTAAGGGCAGCTTTATACTTGGCTGTGGCAAACACATGCCTGAACGAAGGTGTTATACACCGAAATATCGCGGAGATTTCAAAGAAATTCTTTTCAACTTGCTTATTCGGAATTTTGGAATTCCTTCGAATACTTAAAATTTTTTGTGAACTTTTGGAAATTCTTTTGAAATAAAAAGAATTTTGGTGCCTCTTTGTGTTATACAACATTTAGGTCCTGATGAGGCTCCGGGACAGCACAATACTAAGAGAACTGCAAAATTGATTAAGAAAGAGACCTAAATGTGAAAAGAATCAAAGCTCAGGAAATCATACGTGCAACCCTCTCATGTTTTTTATTTGAGGTGTTCTACCGCTCCCTTGATAAGTTCTTTGTTTCTATGTTTCTGATGTTTGTTGAACATCTTAAGTGAATGTTTAATCTTTCAAGGATGACTCGTTTTCTGCTCCTTCCCCACTCGCACCTACATTTAACAGATCATTGCAAGAAAACGGCGACCAGCTCATACAAATTGATGACAGCGATGATGAGTCTGAATCCGGAAATTCCGTACCGGGTTCGTGGTTTGTGCCCAACGTAAAAATTATTCATGTAGATTCTGTATGTTTTACAGATTTTCCGCACGAGCCGCCTGCTCCACGAGGTCCAGAAGAATTGGGCAGCGCGGCAAGCTAAGGGTTTGTTCCTCATCCTTACTAAATGTTGCTAAATGACACTGATTTCGAGAAGCTAGATGTGAATTAGAAACCTGTTATAGAAGTCCTTGTTCGAGTCCAGGAAGGTGTCGCAGTTATGGAAAGTCATCCGAGATTCGCGACCATTCAGAAATGTTTCCAAGCTCTTTGGCTCACCGTAAATCATGTACCTGTTGTTGTGCAAAGTTCCTTGATACATATTATACGGCAGGTAAAATTCGGTTTACAAACGCGTTACTTCATACTTTACTCCCTTTTTCCGTCTTTTGAAACATTCCATTAATGTATTACATACGCATTGATTGCAGTTCTCTATTGTGATTTTATTTTTCCATTTTGTGGATCAGTCACCCAGCGGTTACCTCTAGAAGTTATAATTCAATGGCCGATGTCAGAGTCTGCGATTGGAGCGATCGGTCAAATGCCAATCGCGCGACCATCGCGCGATTCGCGCGACGATCGCGCGATTGACATTTCTCCCATCATGACCAATCGCTCCAATCGCGCGATGGGCGCGATCACTCCCGTTGTGGCTGGCGCGCCCCTCTCGATCGATACGTTGACTGAGGTATCGATCGAGAGGGGCGCGCCAGCCACAAACGGGAGTGATCGCGCCCATCGCGCGATTGGAGCGATTGGTCATGATGGGACTCATGTCAATCGCGCGATCGTCGCGCGAATCGCGCGATGGTCGCGCGATTGGCATTTGACCGATCGCTCCAATCGCAGACTCTGACATCGGCCATAGAGTACCGACATATATTCTGTATTGATGATACCCTTGATAACAAAGTTCTCGTTAACAGCAGTGCCCACTTTGGGTGTGTGGGCGGGGCCTTTGCAACCGCGCATCTATAGGCAGTGTGAGCGAAGTGAGCCCTGCCCACTCGCTCAGTACGGCCACTGCCTTTGAGTATTAGATTCATATTTCGCCTTCGAACTGAATTTTACTTTGTATTCGAACTGGAATCACTCTGATCTGAATGGGTTCGGTGGCACCCAAAGGCTGATGGTTCGGATCTACCGGTAGTCGGGTTTCTATGTGTTAAAGGCATGTGGACATCATTTCTATGTTCATACCAACAGTCACTCGAAAGTTATGTGGAGACCGAAGTGATATCATTTCCGTGGTCGGAGGGCATTATCTTTCCTTCTTGTTTGCGTCAGATGTTCATCTTCCCCATTCCCTGTGTTATTCTATAGAAACATATTTCTGAGGATTTCACTTTCGTACCGTACTTTCATGTTCTGTGATCATATTTACTTTGAAGACAATAAATGTATACGTGAATAATTTATTGACAATTGGCGACAAGACATGTTGAAGTTCAAAGTGTAGTGGATGCGCCGTGTTTTCTCTGCCATTCAAACTGTAAGGCGTTGGGAGCTTATTTGACTTATACAAATTTATACCATGGATGATATACAGGGGTGGCCAAAAAAAGAGACACTTGACTCCACATTTCAGACAGCATTAATCACACTTTGCTAAAATCAAATCGACTGCCCCCAACTCAGTATTGAAGAGCACATTCTAATCTATCTAAACCTTACATGACAGCCTTCTACACCGACGACATCAGAAGATTTTCCCACGGAAACATGGTTCACGGTACGAGCTCAACGAGGTCGTCGAGGTACCATAGACCATTACGACGTCCCTGAAACGCTGGTCAAAAGCGGTTTTGCATAGTCACAGCTAATGTCTCTGGGAATTCAGCAGTTAACCATTGAAGAAATTATGTAGCAGCTTCAGGCCGGAGCGATTACGGTAAGCCTCGTTGAGCTCGACGGTGGCGGCAGATGACGTCATATTCTGAAGACGGCGGGGCAGTGAAGGAGGGCCTGCTTCTGTTTACGGGGGAACACCTTAGGAAATTAA